CCAAGATGTCAGCACTGCAATAGGAAGACGTTAGCACATTTCTGAAGTGTAGTGGCAAAGAACCACTTAGTCCCAGTGTAGTTCTCTAAAGAAAAGTTCACTTAATTGACCAGGGCTGCAAAGCTGCCAGTAATTTTAGTGATGGGGATGACACTTCGTTTATGGAATCCAAGCTCTACAGATTAATATGCTTTAGATGAGCAAGGTAAATAGAAGAGTACATTCACTGGGTCATTTCACTAGATACAGCTGAAAAGAAAAATGCTGACCTGAGGCTGTGTATTGACCCAAAAAAATGTGAACAAATAGATAAAGAGAGAGGATTTCCATTTGCTAACTAAAACACAGGCACTGCTGGGCTGAAATTCTTTCCAAAGCGAGATGCATCCGCAGGCTTTTACCAGATACCTCTAAGTGAGGAGACTGCAGAAGCTATGAACTTTCAATGCACCATTTGTCCGTCCCTGTTTCAAAGGGGTCACATCTGTCACTAGAGCCTGAGCCAGTCCACAGAACACAAAACAGTACAACTGCTTGAAGAGCTGAACACTGTGAAACTGTTTTGCCAGGGTACTGAGTCTTTAAGGAAGGCTGAATAAAATATAAAGGACTCAGGCCTCTAAGAGCAAGTCAGGACAAGAGTTTGAAGTAGACAAAAACAACTTTTCTGGCCAGAAAGTTATTGCTATGAAGGACAGCCAAGTCAAATTTCAGCCAAATACCTTAAACTAACACCTTACAGCATCCCAAAATACTGCCTGTATTTTTATCACTGCAGTGTTTAGATACTAAACAAACCAAAAAGTCCCACTGGACAAGGTGGCCAAAGCAGGGTCAAGTCTTTCACCGAAGTGACAATCACAGTAGATAAGAGACAGAGAAATGATTGACAAGAACAGCAAGGCAGGGGTAATCCTGACAGCAGAGACCAAGCACAGTTCCTGCTAACAGCCTTACAATAACCCAGTTCCTCTGTGGAATCAGCTCTCCCTGCTGCACAGCAAATGCCTCCTCCCAACTGATGGGCAGGTACGACTGGAAGTCACCCACAACCTGCATTTGCTTTCCCTCACTCCTCAGTTTACCTTTTTACCATCCCTACTGGATGGTTTTCCATTACTGTGTTTACACACCAGTTCTCTCATCTTGTTGCCTCTTTGTACCTTTTATCATAATATGCTTTTTGTCTCTCTTGGGAATAGCTGGGACACATCTACCGGGGCCTAGCAGATATGAACCACTGCCAAAATCTCACTGGCAGCACAAACTTCCATGCAGGTTATGAGTAAATGAACAAGTTTACCTAAGCCCTGGAGAAAACTGGGATTCTGGGCATGAAATCTCTGACACCTCTTTAATGGCATGATCACCCCCTGAAGATTGCAGGCTTTAATTTATTTATTTGTCACCTAACTGTCTTAGGTAGACACAACCTTAACCACACCATGGAATAAAAGCTCTGGAAGATTTACTGCAGAGGGGCATTACCTTGAAAACTCTAACCAGGAAAGTTTGTATTCCAGCACTTTTGGCAAATTTGCCATTATTGACAGAGTTTCTGGCTCTTCCTTACAAGCCACCATTCAGTAGTGCTGAACTTCTGCTTTGTCATTAGAGTTTAAAAGCAGGGAACTAAATCCCAATTCACAATAAAACCCCATCCCTTCATCCCAATGAACAGAATACTTGTCAATACTTACTGATATCTGGCCATTTAAGAAAACATAACATTGTTCTGTTTAGTACTTAATTTTACACAGATATTTAGTTCTGCAGTTCAAGAGCCAGACACACATTTATGCATTAGAGAAGCGATTACAGGGATGGTATTTTATATCACAGTCATGCACTTAGAAGCAGCTTTGAACAGCCATTTGCAGTACAACTGCTGGGTGTTTTACTAGGTAAGTACGGTGCCTAATAAACTTTGATCTACTACCAAATATGAAAACAAAGTAAAGTGGAATATTAATAGCACTATCTCCATTTTGAAAGGGTTCTATCCTAGAAGAGAGATTAGCCACTTATAAAAACTCCACGCAGCTATAATTTAACATAATGCAAGTTCCTGCTGTGCTCTTGGCTAGCATTAACGTGATGAAATTGAGAAAAAGGAAATGTAGGAAGTTTTCCATAACAGTAGGGTATGCCATGCTACTGAACTTCCAAAACAAGCTATAAAAAAAACCCAAAAACCTCACTGCTTGATTAATTTAAAACCAGAATGAAACAATAGTCAAAATAAAGAGCCTCAATCAGTGTCCACTGCAGTGTAACTAAAACAAGGATGTACTGCAGGGCTGTGGGATGAAGAAGGGCAGAGCAGAACCCCGGCAGGTGCTGTGCCAACCTATGGATGCACAGCTGTGTTTGTATTTGTGCTCCAACATTGATTCTGTCCCTAAAATCCTGCTAACTCCGTGCACCTTTAACAGCTGCTCCTGTTCAACACTTTCCTGCACTTACAGATGCTTGTGCAAACAAATCACTTCTCTAGCTGTGCATCCTTAAATGCTTTTTTAGGGCTAACTGTACTTGCAGTTTCAGTGAGCCTTGCTCTAGCTCGCTGCTCATAGGAAAAATGAAGATTCCCACTCATCTTTCCATTACAAAACGAAGTAAACCTGTACACGTGTGTTCACATTTACGCTCTGCCCCAGAAAAGCTATTAAAATAAATAAATAATCTTCCTTCAAGCTCATGAATACCTCCCATAGGCTATAAAGGGGCTTAAGCACATGCATTAGCACTCTGCTGAAAAGAGGTCATTTCCTGAAAGGAATATATATACACTTGGGATTTACTTATGTAAATACAATTTCACACACATCCTCTCCACCTAAGGAGCAGCCATCCAATAATTGGTATGTAAAACATGCGCTTGCACCTAAATGCAAGAGCACTTTTGCACGCTGACTTTTATACATCCTGGTCTGACTAGAGGCATGGCTTAAATTAAATGCCAAGCTTCTTTCTTGAGATTGAATGAATTAACATTATTGGCCAGATAATAACCCCAGCATAATGGCACACTGAGGCCTAAGGCAACATTTCAGGAGAATTTTCTTAGAAATTCAAGCCTGATAGGAGATGCTAATGAGTTTAGAGAAGTAAATATAGCTCTTTAAATAGCAAACGACAACTTGTCTATAACAGTAAGTTTCTCAGCACATTTACAAACGTTTTTGCTTGCGAGCTATAAAGTGACTTTCATTTAGTTGGACTTTCGCTCTCAAGAACAATCACTATCCTCACACGCCAACAAAGAGAGTGCAAATACACGAGAGGAGTGCAAACGAAACACTCATTAAGGCTCCGCAGGAAACTATACAAACACCTTATTAAATAAGTTTAATTAAGTGGCTCCTTTCTAAATCATACAGCGCTCAACAATGCTGAGAGGCCAATTCCCCTCTCGGAACCTCGGATTTTCTCCCCTCAAGGAAAGCAATATTTTGTCTTTTCTCGAGGCAGAGCAGAGCTGGGGCACCACTCCCGGCTTGTCTCCTGCTCGGCTGAGACAACGCTGAGCCAGCTTCCAGCAGGAACAAAAGGCTTCAGGAGTTGGGTTGTTTATCAACTCCCCCTGCAGCACTTTCTCGTGCCTTTACGAGGAATCCTAACCGCTGTATAAATACTTTAATGTAGTGCTGCCTAACTCAGCTGTTTAGCCCAACGCAAACGCTCTTTGCAGAGGATGCGCTTGTGACTCGGAGCAGCCCCACAAAACGCCAGGACCTCTCCAGAACATTAATCCCGTGCAGTGTCTGCAGGGGAGCACGAGGCTGATACAACTCTCACCTCCAGGCTACAGCAATCAGAACAGAAAGCTGCATTTCAGACTCTTCACACCGGCACTTCCAGAGCGTGTCAAGACTGAGCTGTCCATTAATTTTAGTTCACATTGAAATGACCGGCATGAAGAGGCCATGCAGTTTTCTGCCAAGTACTTTGTTTTCCCTCCGACTGGGGTGGGAAGAGTCCCTTTATGAATTGCTCCTGATTCCGATCTGGTTTCAGCCTCTCAGGGCTGCCTCCACAAACAACTGCCCTGGCAGAGGGGCTGGCAGGACCGCACCGAACTCAATCATTAAGAGTCGCTTAGGAGTAATCTTCTTATGACAGTCAAAGAGCACCACTAATACCAGCAGGATAAAAGGCAAAATTGTGGTTTTATTCCTAGTAATGGCACGGACAGCAGGCATTGCAGAGAGCCCAGTGAGCTTCCACACCCTTCCACCACGCACCCAGACGGGGAGGAGGACGTGGTTCAATAAAGCATCCACAACCATCACGTTCCGTCTGAGCAAGAAAACGAGAAGTGTTGAGACACGGCAGTCCCCCACTATTCTGCACAGAAACCCCCCTTGGGAGCACGCACTGTCTGCATCCCCCAGTCACTTCAGAAAAGATCTGCCTTTGTCAAAGGAGCTCTCCTCATCACGGAAGTTCAGCGATGAGAAAAACCAGCAGATCATTCAAATGACCTCTCTGCTAAGCCAAACCTGCTCCTCGGCTGTCCCTTTAATCAAGATAACAAGCATCTTATCCAACCCAGGTGACAGCTCTTCCATCCAGGCTCCGGAGCTAACACCGCACATTTCCCATATAATTTAAAGAACGCTATTCCCAAATACTGTCACCGTGCTGCTCTTCCCAAATTCCGCTCCAAGCTGGCGCTGGGACACCCCCCCCGAGAAGCTCCTTTAACACGACGCAGTAATTAACACGCATCTGTAAAACCACCATCCTTGAGGACGAAAGTAAACTCGGCCCGTTTCTCATCTCAAACGCGAGCTCGCACGGTTTCCCACCATTCACATAAACCGGGAGAGAGAAAGCAGCAGAGAGAGGCAGGATTTAAAGGAAAAGCAGGGGGGAGAGGAGGAAGGGGTAGCTTAGTTCACACGGTTGACAAGAGCGCTCCGGGCCGGGGAAGGAGTTGGAGCCGCCCGTGCGCGATCAACTGGTGCCCGCTGCGCGCCCCCCGCGGCCCTTACCTCCGCAGAGCAGCGCTCCGAGCAGCAGCCCGGCCGCCCGCGCCATGCCGAGGGGCTGCCGAGGGGCTCCGGGGCACGTCCCGCCCGGGCCCGGGGCTCCGGGGGCTCCTCCTCCGTTAGCTCTCCGCGCCCGCCGCCCGCGCCATCGCTCCGAGCGCGGACCCGCTCCGCGCCCTCAGCGCCCTCCGCGCGCTCCTCCGCTCCCTCAGCGCCCTCCGCGCGCTCCTCCGCGCCGCTCCGCGCGCTCAGCGTCCTCCGCGCGCCGCTCTCTCTCTCCGCGCGCCGCTCTCTCTCTCCGCGCGCCGCTCTCTCTCTCCGCGCGCTCCGCCCCGCGCTAACCCCGGCGGGCACCGGCAGCGCCCATGGTGAGTGCCCCGGCCGGCACCGCTGACGCTCCCTGCGCAAAACTTGAGAAGCGGGTGAGTAAAGGGACGGGAAGGTGCGGGAAGCGGCGCGGCTGGCGCGTCCCCACGGCCGCCGGCCGGCTGCGCTGGCCCCGAGCGCCCTCCGCCGCTTTCCCCGCCTTTCTGAGGGGCCGCGGCCGCGGCGCGCACTGACACTTTTCCCTGGGAGGGAGGAGGGAGGGAGGGATGGAGGGAGGGGGCAGCGCCGAGCCCCACCCTCAGGGGCGTGAGGGGACGGGGATGGAGCGGGACCCGCGGGCTGGGACAGCGGCTTAGGGCTGAGGGCTCGGGGGGCTGAGAGGGGCTCCAGGCGGCGGGCACCGCATCGAGGGGAGCCCCGGTGCGGAAATGGGGGGCCCGGTCGGGAATGGGGGGCCCGGAGCTCAGGGATGCTCGGTGCGGGAATGGGGGGCCCGGTGCGGGAATGGGGGACCCGGTACAGGAATGGGGTCCCGGAGCTCAGGGATGCTCGGAGCGGTTCCTCCCCGGCCTCACCCCGGCGCTCCCGCTGCCTCCTCTCCTGCCGGGCAGCAGCGCTCGGTAAAACCTGAAAACCGCAAGGAAAAAGCCCTGTTAAAACACGAGACTGCCCCTGTGTGCGTTCCTCTCCAAGCAGAAGGAAACCCACAGTGAAACACCCAGGCCTGCCCGTGTTTGTTCCACCTGTGGTTCCCCACCGCCACCTCCTCACCCTCTCGTTTTGCCTTTCGTACGCGTTTTCAGTGCCATCTTCCAAACATCATTCACAGGCAGCCGTTTCATCCCTATTCCTTTAATTTTGATGCTCTCCCCTGGGTGTCTTGAGTGTCTCTTTCCTCCTTGTGGCAACAAAAATGTAAATATTTGTGGCCCAGCAGTAAACACACTTGTAATAATATTTACTACAGCTGGGGCACACAGCAAGCAAAGGACAGGTTGGTAAGAAGTAGTGAGTGTTTGAAATATACTGAGGGCAGAAATCACATAAGAAGAGAGAAAATCCCTCCACAAACACTCTATGACAAAGCAACACCTTAAAATAGGGGTTTTTTTTCCACAACCTGCTGGTTTTATCCTGAAAAATCAGGCTCTGATCCTTCAGGCAAATGCAGCCATTCCCCTATAGATGGCTAATCAAGAAAAATCAGTGAGCTTCTATCTGTAGTCAGCTCCTGAAAGAGATGTCAAAGTTTATTAGTAGATATTACCCTAAAAAAAAATGAGTAAAGCATATTTTGGCAGATTTTAAAAAGCCTATTGTTCATGCAAGACATTATCCCTGGTTTGATAAGCCGAGTCAGGAAAGAGTTCCTTAGCACAGAGATTTCCAGGGAGGAACTGCAGAGAACTTTGTCAGGACTGTGCTTTGTGCTGTCATGGTTTACATGATTTTATTGTCAGTAGCAGCTAATTCAAATGTGGAAAAAGCAGAAAGCGGATATCATATGGATGAAATTTCAATGTAATTTTTCCCACAAGAGTGTAAAGAAGCATTTCTCATTGAAAAACTCATTCAAAAATGTGTAACTGCTTTAGTATCTTCTGCTTGATTGTAGATTTAGCTAGACACTACAAATACTTGTTGGATGAGTTTAAATATAAGAATCCAACAGCTGACGGTAAAACACAGCAGCTATCAAACATTTATGTCCTGTATCTTGAATTTGTAGATAATGTAGACAATTCATCTCATTTATAAGAAAAAGGTGACAAGAAATGCTATTTCTTTCCAAGGCAACTTTCACTGAGGGACCAAACCCCAATCCTATCATAATTCATAAACTACCAACATCTGTCTTCTTTGAATGGTGGAAAAAAAAAATCAGTTTGATGTAAATTAGATGGAACATGAGATTATTCAGAAGTACTGACAGGCAGTAGAGGTCCTATTTATCAAGCCTGAGCTGGAGTCTGTGCGTTACTTGCATAAGAGAACAAAGTTTTGAAATTGCACCTTGAGTCCATTGGCAGAGACCGTCATGGAAAAGAGGCAGAAATCAAATAACAAGGTGATAAAAATGGTAACAAAGTCTGGACAGAATAGATTTTGCTACGACTGTTCCTACTCCTATGGAATTTCATATCCAGTGCAGTAATTCAGTACCAGAATTTTCAGTACAAGCTCTGCCTCAGGTGATTTGTTTAGGCTTGCATTTTCAACCAAAGGAAATGAAGGAGTTAAGTACACAAATCACACTCAAAGAATCCAGATTAATTTCTTTCTTAATGCATTTATAATGAAAATATAGGTTGCTGCGAACAATTTATGACAACAGTTCAATTAGCACCAAACATGAAAACAGAGCAGTGTGTCTGAAGGCAGGGGGGGACAGTACATAAGGAGTCCTGGAAAAGGAAACTGTAACACTAAATAATACAGAAAATGTCATTACCTACCTTTGATACTGTCCAAATTACGTCTCTAAACATAAATCAAAGCCATTTAAATTATCTGTAATCCTGAATATGTTTGGATTTTTGTGATGTTTGATTGCTCTAAAGTTTGTACGTTTAAAGTTAGATTCTGACCTTTCATTCATGGTGATTGTTGTGCTGCTCCTCAGTTTATCCAGTTGAAGGTTAGTTTGCAGAATCTATAGAACATCAGAATCTCAGGATTTTCAGTTTTGAAGTCTTTATGGGCTCTCATGACTATTAATAGACAAAACCAATATTTTCAGTCTTACATGTAGCGTATTCCCTGCAAAAACTGTAAGGAAATAAGGAACATGCTCAGAAGCAGGTGAGTGACTGCACCAAAATTGTCTTCCTAAGGTCAGTCAGCCTCTAAAAATGTCCAAATGTACCATATGATGTACTTCAGGCTGAAAATGCAGCCTTGGAGGGCTCTCAGTTCCCTCTCTATGTTTTGACAGCCACAATGTTGAAATCACGTGCGAATTCACTGACCCAAATCTAAAAAATGAAAGCAGAAAGAAAAACCCATCAAATCAAAGCTCCTATTTCCACGTGCAGGTAACAATTGCCAGGGGAACTCTCCAACCCCTGTGCAGGCATTGGGGTGTTTTGCACAATTTGTATTTTGTCATGCAGAAGTTCTGTTCATCAAATACATCCCCCCAGCATTTCTCAGGTGAAAACATGATCATATACTTGGAGAAGCAGCATTTTGTGTAAGTGATTGAGCATGACAACAGGTACTACAGCTATCCAAATTGCTGGTTTTTTGTTAGGGAATGCAAGAGCTATAAAGTTGTCTTGTTCTGTGCATGGGATGTTTAATGTTCATCATAAAATGGAAAATAGATGAAGTGTAAGATTATGCACAATTTTCTTAATATGAAAATGTGGAGGTTTAAGGCAAAAAATTACTGAAATTTGTGTTAAGTAGACTTTCAGTATTAAAAGAAATTCAGAAAACTGTCAACCAACCCTCTGGACTGGCAGCAGAAGTGCATCAGAAGGAATAACCTGACAGAACTTCAGAAAGCAGGTGTTGGGACGGTGATGTTCCCAGCAGTTTCACACTCCTGACATACTCCTGACATTACAGACACTGCAGTCTGTAGCGGTGACTGTAAGAACTCGGAGATGTAAAGTGGTGCTTGCTCACTCCCTGGCCTTTGGGCAGAATTTGGGCACCCTGGATCCACGTGAGAGGGTTTGGATGGGATCCCTTAGCACTGTCTGTCCCTCCGAGCCCCGCTGAGCTGCTGCTCACTCCGAGCTTGCCATGCACTGTCCTGGCATCACTGCACCCTCCCAGTGACTCTGGCTTTCCCTCAGTGTCCTCAGATGTGAAATGTGCTATTGACACCACGTGCTTTGGGCATGGATGCAGAGAGGGAAATGCTGCACATACACGCTGCTGTTCTTTAAATTGGTCTGACTGGGTCGGTATCTGTCTGTCTCATTTAATAGATCTCTCTGCTCTCTCATGTAATTATTCAGCCTTATAATTTCCATAACTCATTGTCTTTAAAAATAGAATTTGAAATCCTTGGAATGTGATTGTGGCCACCTCACTGCAACTGTCCATACAAAAGTTACATCCTGTGTTGTCCCATCTAAACAGAATTCCAAAAGAAAGAACAGGAGAGGGATGCACCCCAGATTCTGCCAGAGTTCTGAAGTCACATAAAGCAACAGAGTGAAAAAATACTCAACATTCAGTTTTATGCCATCCCTGTGCCTTGGTACATTATCATCTCTCTTCTGCCTTCTGTGCTTTGTTTGCAGTTAGGAGTATTGCCATTTAAAGTGATTTTATTATACTCCAGTGTCAGCATCTATCCTCGTAACAGAGACATAACTTGTATCTCTCACAGTTCCTCACTGGTGCTGTGTGCAGACACCATGGCCTGCCTTTGTATTCAGCACATCTGAAAGGGCTTTTTCTACCACAGGGCCTGACATTGTCATCTCTTTGGCTGACAAATGTTTTTAACAAGGACTGGGGATCACAAGGTAGCGATGTTTGCAAAAGGCATCAGCTCCCCTGGTCACTGAACTTCCCTGGTACACGAGAGGTATCTACTGCATGCATGGAGAATTTGGGGTGCCACAGGTGGATACCCTTCAGCCTCAGGTCTCAAGAGGTGCCTTTTTGGACCAGGAGGCCACTCCTCAAAATGTAAAGGACCATACAAAAACCCAGTAGATATTGAAATCACTGATATCAGAGGGATTAAATATGTGGCCTTCCATCCTACCATTCAATACTGCTACCAAAACACCCCCACTTGTAAATTCTCAATTACCAGTAACATTTGGGACTATGAGACATAAAACACAAACACGATTTCATCATTTGAGGATGGCAAATGCAATAGAATTTGGACAGAGCCAAGAATGCGTATTTATTTTCATATGGCAAATACTTACTGAGGTTCCTGGCAGTATTTTTTTTCAATCTGTAATGATTCTTCTCTTTGTTTCTTTGTTTTATCCAAGTGTTATAACCTGGTACTACATACTCTTGGGAAGGACCATGCTGCAATAATTATGAGCTCTAGATTCTATGGCAATGGAATTTTATAACCCACTAAGTCTGTGCCTTACACAGCATTTTTCATGTGTGCATTTTGTAGTATTTATACATATTAATAACCTTTGGAACATTTCACCCACAAGTGTTCCTGATTCCACTTACTCCTTCTCTTCTTGTTTACATAAAGTAAAATAAATTAAGATCTGTTGATGAGTTTTAAGGATGAATACCATGAGGCACTCTGGGATGTTTCCTGCAATGTGAATTAGTGTCCTGGTTTCAGCTTTAAGAAAATTACTTGTCTTCATATGTACTTACTAAAGAAACAAAAAAAAATCTATCAGATACTGGCAAAGCTGTTTGTCACCTCCCTGCTGCATCTCTGGATTTGCCTGCAAAGCTTTGGAATACTCCAGTCCCACGTGTTGCAGGCTGCACCCTGGAAAAGGAGAGCAGCTTCAAAGCGCTGCGCTAACCAGCGCTTCCAACACGTACTGACCCCTCCCGCTCCCTGGAGCATCCCAGGGATGCACGGAATGGATCCGGGCTCTGGAAACACTCGTGTCACTACCGGATCCTCGGACAGGATAACCGAGGCACAGCCGCCGCCCAGGAGCCGGGAGAAACCTCCTTGAAGGCGGATTTAAGCGCCGAGCTGCTCTGAGGCTGGGGTTGCGGGGAGATTCCCGGGTGGGATCGCGGGGATGGATTCTGGGGATGCGTTCCCGGGCTGGATTCGATCCCCGGGCTGTGTTCGCAGCGTTCGCAGCTCCCCCTGGCGCAGGAGGAGCGCCGTGATCGCGGGAGCGCTCCGGGAGCGCCGCGCCCCGGCCTGGCGGCACCGCCGCATCCCGCTCAGCATCCCGCACCGCATCCCTCTCCGCTCCGCATCCCGCTCTGCATCCCGCTCTGCATCCCGCTCTGCATCCCGCCCCGCTCCATCCCGCTCTGCATCCCGCTCAGCATCCCTCACCGCATCCCGCTCCGCATCCCGCCCCGCTCCATCCCGCTCCGCATCCCGCTCAGCACCCCTCACCCCAGCCCGCTCCCCCTCCCGCCCC